CCCCCCCCCCCCCCCCGCCCCACCTCATTCGCCTTGCTTCACCCACACTGGTTCCCTTGCTGTTCTTCCAACTTGCCAGGCACCCTCTCACCTCAGGTCTTTACCGTGGCTAATACCTTTTCCAGAGATTCGTTTCTACCTTCTCTGCTCCTAGCCAACTTTCACATCTCAAGGAGACTTTCTCAGAGAGGGCTTTGCCTGGCTCCTAGCATATTCCCACACATGATCTTAGATATTTTCCTAGCCCATGACATTCTTTGTTAATTACTATACTTCTGTGTTTACCAGTTTGGTATCTAGCTCCCCTAGCCCAACCTAAGACTAACTCATGATGGCAAAAGACTTCATTTATGGGAAACATATGTACCATCTATTGAAGAGCTACGGGTACAGCAGTAAACAAAACAAAACAAAACTCCTGCATTCAAGGGGAAGGGGGAAGACAGTAAACAAAGAAAAAGCAAGTGATACAGTGTGCTAGGAAGAGAAGTGCTGTGGAGACACTTAAAGTGGGCAGGAGAGTAGTATGAAGTGCAGCAGAGGGGACTCTTCAGTTTTCAATAGGATGGTCAGGGAAGGGCCCACTGACATTTGAGCAGAGATCTGAAGGAGGCAAGGCAGTGACCTATGGACACGTCTGGGAAAAGAGTGTTCTAGGCAGGGAGGACAGCTAGAGTAAAGTTCCTCGGGCTGGCTGAAGAGTGCTTGGTTCCATTGAGGACCAGGGAGGAGATCAGTGTAGGGGAAGCAGAGCAAGGGAAGGGAGAGTGGTAGGAGATGGGGTCAGAGAGGTGATGGTGGACAGATTGTTTAGGGCCTTCTAGGCATGGAGAGGACTTTGGCTTTGACTTGGAATGGGATGGGAACCATGAGAGGGTTTCGAGTAGCAGAGGGACATGATATGATTAGGGTGTTGGTTGTTTTTGGTGGCTGGCTGGTAAGGGGATCCGAACCCTTGGCCTTGGTGTTACCAACTCCGTGCTCTTACCAACTGAACTAAACAACCAGCCGTATGATTAGGGTTTTAACCAATGTCTAGCTGCTGTGGGAAGAAAGGACTGTTGGGGGAGCAAGGGGGAAGCAGAGAAGCCTAGGAAGAGATGACGTGACTGCCTGGGTGGAAGGTTATGGTAGTAGCAGTCGTGGTGGTGAGTAGAGGGTCAGAGTCCAGAGCCGACAGGAGGCAGGACTGACACTGTAGTTTTGGGGTGAGCAGCTGTGGAAGGGTGAATGGGGAGATGTGGTGTGAGCAGATGTTATGCTCCCCAGTGTCCCCATGTATATGTGTGTGTGACTGCATCTCCCTCTCCCCAGCTTCCCTGAAGGCCCTGAGCGGCTCCATGCCATCAAGGAGCAGCTGATCCAGGAGGGCCTTCTGGATCGCTGCGTGTCCTTTCAGGTGAGTCCCCTAGCCAACACTCTGGGTGGAGGGCAGGGAGCTGGCAGGACCTGAGCACAGCCAGTACCTTAGCCCTTTCTTCCTCATGTCTCCCCAGGCCCGCTTTGCCGAAAAGGAGGAGCTAATGTTGGTTCACAGGTGAAGGCTGGGGAGCCTGGTAGGGATGGGGAGAAGGCTGCCCTGGACCAACCAGAGCAGGCTGAATGCTTTGGGAAGGAATGTCATGGACTCTGGGGCCAGCCTTGGGCAAGTGGCTGAGCCTCTCTGAATCTGTGTCATCGCCTATAACATGGGGCTAGTAAACCCAAGTTCCTCAGGAGAGTTCAGTATGTGTCAGGGGCTTAGAACAGGGCCTGACATATTAGCCCATGATGAGCTATTGTTATTATAATCTGGTAGCATAAACAGATGGTGGATGTGCAGACAGAGTGATTGGGGGCTCCCTCAGGGGGCTGCAGGAACCCAGAGTAAGAGGCCTGGTGCAGTGTGGCTAAGGAAAGTAGCTTGACAGAGGGGGTATCTGAGCTGAGCTTTAAGAGGAGAAAAAGAGGGAGTCAGATGAAGGGGAAGGCTGAGGCAAGGGAGGAACAGACAGCTGGAACAGTCTGCCAAAGGCCTGGAAATAGGGTTTGGTGTGGCTAGAGCAGGGGAGCAAAGGATATTACTGGAGTGAGGCAGGCTAGGGAAGAAACAGGGAATGTGTCCTATCCCCCAAGTTGACAGCTGGGGAGGCCTGACTTGACCAGGGGTCTGGTGTGTGGAGGGCTCAGCTGGGGAGGGGACGGAGGAACTGGCCCTGAATCTCATCCCCTGTCTGTGTCCCCAGCCTAGAATTCATTGATCTGATGGAGACGACCCAGTATATGAATGAGGGGCAACTCCGCATCCTAGCAGACACCTATGATTCAGTTTATCTGCATCCGGTATGGATGAGAACTGTGGAGACAGGGAGTGGCGGCAATCCTGGGGTCCCCTTCATGCTCACTCCATCCTGGGGGAAGCAGCTGAAAGGATAGGGCTGCTCTCTCCCTCACTCCCTCTCTGGCTCCCCACTGTCTCTCCAGAACTCATATACCTGTGCCTGCCTGGCCTCAGGCTCTGTCCTCAGGCTGGTAGATGCGGTCCTGGGGGCTGAGATCCAGAATGGCATGGCCATCATCAGGTAGGATCCTCGAGCATTTGACTTGTTACATTTTTTAAAAATCTTTCACTCAAATGTAAAATGTATTGGTATGTGTAATATATTTATGTGGTTCAAGAGTGAAAAAGTGCAAAAGGGGGTACAATAAAAAGTCTCTCTTCCACCCTTGTCGCCCAGATACCTGCTTCCTATCCTGGGAGGTATTCATAACCTGATTCCTGTGTCCTCCCACAAATAGGCTTATTCAAAAAATAAATGTCATATTTCATTGATTCTACGGCATACATTTTTTCATATCTGTAACATCTTGAAATCCAGATGCATCTTATAAACAATGAGGTCTCAGAATTTAATTGGCAGTATTTTCTGCTTTGTTGTTGGCATGTAAAGTCATGGTACATCTGATCATTGTTGGCATCCCAGAATTGATGAAATGCAGAAAATATAGCTTTTCTCCTCCTTCCCCTTTTTTTAACCACAAATGGTGGTAGCACTTGACACACTCCCTTCCATGCCATGCATTTTTCACTTACATATCTCAGAAAGCTTTCTCACACAATATGTAGCTTAGACTCTAGGAGAATCCCATTGTGTAAATGCACTTTAAATTAACCAGTCCCCTACTTATGGGCATTTTGGCTTTCCCCAGTCATTTGCTGTTTCAAAACAATGCCACAGAAAATATGGTGGTATATTTATAAACCTGTTATTTCACCCTTTTTCTTATATAGGTTGTGGGCTAAGTCCCCACAGCAGAGTGACTGGGTATGAGAATGATACCCATTGATAATTTTAATGAACATTCTCAAGTCTTCTTTGGAGAGAGAGCAGTAGATTGGTGGGGGAAGGAGGAAGGTGAGGGTTTGAGGGCCCCGGTTACTCAGTTCCTGGCAGACTTACAGGCATTGACATTGGAGGAGTTGCTAGTCCAGAACTAGGGAGCAGGGGAGAGTCTGTCTCTGCAGAGGAAGACATCCCCAACCTGTGGCCTTCCCTGTCCTGCCCAGGCCTCCTGGACACCATGCCCAGCACAGTCTTATGGATGGGTATTGCATGTTTAACCATGTGGCTGTGGCTGCCCGCTACGCTCAACAGAAGCATGGCATTCAGAGGTCAGCAGCAGAGGGCGGGTGCAATGGGAGTGGCACAGGGTGGGGTATCCTGGTCTGGGCTTTTCCCTCAGATTCACCTTGATCCCCGTGCACAGAGCCCCCTCTCTCCCGCACACAGGGTCCTTATTGTGGATTGGGATGTGCACCATGGCCAAGGAACGCAGTTCACCTTCGACCAGGACCCCAGGTACACCCCAAGTCCTGCCTAGGTGCTAGACTCCCAGCCACCCCACACCATTACAGGCCCAGCCAGAAGGAGCTGGGAGGGAGGGGGAGGCATTCACATTCTTTGGGCCCACCCTGGGACTAGTATCTGTGCTGCTCTCTGTGTGTCTGCTGGGGTTCCCCATTTTACAGATGGGGGGACTGAGGCTTACAGTTTAAGAAGTCACACAGAGAAGAAGTGGAGAGATGGGATTTGACCCACAAATATTTGGAGATGTTGTTCACCAATTTACCCTTGAGTTGGAGTGAATCTCAAATTAGTACTCTTATGTTTTCTGATTATGACAGTACTGCCAAGTATTTGTTTAAAAAAAAATTAATGCAGAAATATCTAAAGCAGTGAGTCTCCTATAATTCCCATCACCTCAGAAATAACTGTTGACAGTTTAGGCTATTTCCATACAGATTTTTTTTCTATAGATGTATGAATATTCATTATTATCACTATTATTATTAACAGCACACTGACTAATAGAATAATCTTCCACACGTTTCTTGGCAACTTTTTTTATTTAACAGCATATCTGAACACCTCTCCGTGTTAGTCCCTCTGAAAGCATCTTGTTCTTTGTAAGGGCTATACAGTATTCCATTGTATGGCTACCTCTGGACATTTAAGATGCTTCCCAGTTTCTGCTATTACAGATAGTTCTACCACGAATAGTCTTGTAAATATATAATTTTGCACTTCTCTGAGTATATCTGTAGGATAAATTTCTAATAGTGGATTGCTGGGTCAGAGGGTTGGTGTGCTTTAAAGTCTGGTATATGCTGCTGACCTTTCCTGCAGAAAGTGATTGAGCAAGTCTTTATCAGTAAGAGACATTACTAAGTAGTAGTTGTTTTATCCAGCTTTCTCCCTAACTGACTACATAGAATCCACTTTTCCCCTGTAGATTCTGAGCTCCCATGGCCCCTTATCTGATCTAAGGTTGGTTGTTCTCTAGACATTTCTTTATTATTTCCCAGCATTCAGTGTTGCTGACATGTGTCTGATGTCAGTCTGCTTTTCATTCCTTTCTGAGTAATCTGTTTCCCACTCTGCAAGGTTTTAGGTTCTTCTTTTTATCCCTGTTGTTCTGAACTTTCACCCTGGCCCCCTCATTCTGCCTAGCAGTGGGTAGACATTTTATATCTGAAGACTCATGCCTTTCTCAAATCCTTGGAAGCTTTCTTCTGTTAGGTATGCAATAGTTTCTCCTACTGTGTTTTCTCTATTCTCTCTTTCTAGGACTCCTATTAGATGTTAGACCTCCTGGATTGATCCTCTATGTCTTTTATTTTTTATATCCTGTTTTCCATCTCTTTCTCCTTTTGCTCTGTGTCCTAGGAGATTTCAACTTTATCTTCAGGTCCTTCTCTTGAATTATGTATTTAGACATTCTTTTAATCTCCAAAAGCACTTTCTTCCTCTCTGTTTCTATGCCGTCTCATTCCTGATCTTGTCTTTATTATAGAGTACTGATTAGAAGTGCTTTAAAGTTTTTTTCTGTTTTCTGAATTCTCTCTATTATGAGGCTGGTTGAATTTTTTCTTGGTCCTTCTCTATCCTGCTGGTGGTTTTCCTCAAATGTCTAGTGATCCTTAGTTGGCTATTTATACCCAAGAATGAAGGGCGGTTGTAGGGGCTGTCATGGGACTACTTTGCTGTGGTGTGTGTAGGTCTGTTTTCCTGAAAGGCATTTCTGCCGAATGGGGACAGAGAATGCCCACTGACAGTTCTCAACTTTAGGGAATGTGGACAAGGACCTACGTGTTGGATGGGATCCTGCTAAATGCCAGAAGAAAAGGGGCCTCTTCTTTGGAGTGATGTCTTTTTTTTCTCTCAGCCTTGCCAAAGATATTTAACTTATCTTTTCCAATCTAGATTTTGGCCTTTTTGGTCACCGCTACTGTTTTATTATGTTTTTTTAATACTTCATTAATTTTTCTATTTTTATTGTTAGTAAATTCTTCCTCCTGTGTTCTTTACTTAGTTCATTTCTGGCTTCTTGAATTGAATGCTTCAACATTTCTCAACATTTTTCATTGGCCAGTCTTGTTTCATCTATACTTGCACCCGCTGCCCTCTTCCTGTTTTATTTTGTTTGTTTTTTATTTTTCCTCCTGTTTTATTTTGAAGCTAATCCCAGATACCATATAATTTCTTTTGTAAATATTCCAGAATGCATCTCTAAAACATAAAGATGCTTTTTAAAAAAGCATTACCTCAGTTCATGCCTGAGGAAATTAACAAGAATTCTTTAATATCATTAATCATTTTTTATTTATTTATCATTGTTTTGTTTATTTGTTTGTTTGTTTGTTTGTTTACACAGCTGGGCGGGACAGGGATGCACAACCTTGACCTTGGTATTATGACACCACCCTCTGACCAACTGAGCTAACCAGCCAGCTCCCTCATTCTTTTTGTTTTAATAAATGCATTGGAGGCTATAGCTGTGTTCTTTTGTGGATGTGTTATTGACTATATGCATGGAGATGAAAAATTGTGAATATATTCAGTACATTCTTCCTTATGAATAAGAATGTAAATGAAAAAATCTCTTCATGCCCTTTGCTCTCCCAGCTTCCTATCTCTCAGTCTCTTAACTCCAGCAGCAGACAGACAGATTGGACAGTCCTTAAAATGCTGTAATGAAGAGTAGGAAAACAGGTAAACTAAAACTAAGTGACTTTGATGAATTGGTCATTCAGTGAATTGGCTACTCAGGTTTGACTTTGTGTGCATTGATCTGGATCTGCGCTTGATTTCTCCAGAAGGGAAACCCCACATCATCTTGGGCACCCTCCCCCGCCTTCTCAGCATGGGAGAGGACCTTCTGGGGCTCCTGGGGCCTCAAAGTTTACTTTCCAGAGATTTGTTGAAGTCTCTTATTGTCTTACATTCTTTTCTCATTCTTTGTCTTTCTGAGTTGATACTTGTTTTTTTTTTTTTTTTCCTCTTTGTCTTTTTTCGTGACCGGCAGCGGATCGCAACCCTCAGTGTCACGCCTGTACCGGACCGCCGCGCTCCCAAGCGGCGCACCATAGCAGTGCGCCACCGGGCCGGCCCGAGTTGATACTTGTTTAAAATTCATTTACTGGGCTGGCCCGGTGGCGCACTGCTACGGTGCGCCGCTTGGGAGTGCAGCGGCGCTCCCGCCGAGGGTTCGGATCCCACATACAGACCGGATCCCGCTCACTGGCTGAGCGAGGTGCGGGCGCAACACCGAGGGTTGTGATCCCGTTGCCGGTCCCAGTCCGGTACAGGCACGACACTGAGGGTTGCGATCTGTTGCCGGTCACGAAAAAAAGACAAAAAGGATAAAAAATAAAAATAAAAAATAAATAAATAAAATTCATTTACTGTCTTTTGACTGGGATGGTAGGAGGGTAAGGCGGTAAACCTGTGCTATCAGTTTACCATTTCATTCGAAGTTGATCAAACTTATTTTAAAATCCCTTTCTGTTTGCTTTATAAACAGTTTACTTGGGTCCTAGTTCTTTAGTTTGTTGATTCTGGTGGCTGTCTTGTGGAGTTGGTGTTCTTCAAATCTTTTCTTTATTACTTTCTTCCCCTGATGATAATTTTTATGTCCTACTGTGTATTTCTCTTCCTGTAATGGTTAACTTACTAAAAGTTTAGAACCAATATTTACCTATGATTGTCAAAAATAAAACAATCATACCCCACACAATCAAGACCAGAGCTTTCGCCTAGGTTTCATTCCCTAATTCCAAGGTGTTTTTCCTCAATTTTAAGAATCCTTTTATATCAGTTGCATTAAATTTCACAACTACATTATCAACATATATTAAAATGTGACTCTTAAGCTGGCTGGTTAGCTCAGTTGGTTGAAGTGTGGTGCTAATAACACATGGGCCGGCCCGGTGGCACACTCAGTAGAATGCAGCGCTTGGGAGTGTGGCGGCGCTCCCGCCGAGGGTTCGGATCCCATATAGAGACCGGTCTGCTCACTGGTTGAGCGCAGTGCGGGTGCGACACCGAGGGTTGTGATCCCGTTGCCCGTCGCGGTACGGGCACGACACTGAGGGTTGCGATCCCGTTACCGGTCACGAAAAAAGACAAAAAGGAAAAAATAAATAAATAACACCAAGGTCCGGGGTTCAATCCCTGTATCAGCCATCAAAAAAAAAAAAAGAATAAAGAATAAAATTTGACTCTTAAGTTTGTCTAGATTCATTGCTTACCACTATTTCTTGTATTTCCCTAAAAAAGAAGAAAAATGCTGCCTTAAATCCTTTATGGAACAAGGCAGGGTGGATGAATAGAGATGGATGAACAGGCAGGTGGACAGATGGATGGATGGATGATAGATTATTCATTTTGCTTTCTCCAATCAGAATTAAGGCCTCCCACAGCCCCCTGCCAGGCTTTCTGACAGAACACACACACCATGTCTTTTCAGTATCTGTTTTGCATGTCGGACCCTCTCATCCCTGTGAGTGCTCGTTTTCTCCCCTATAAAATAGAAGTAGTAGCAGAGGTGGCCTATATGCACTGGGAGGAAGGAACTGCCCCATCACTGGCCTCATGGCAGCCCTAGCCAGTACCTCCACACCAGCTCCACATGTAGAACCAAGTCCCACCCCTCCTCACACCTAGTCTCTGGGTCTCCCCACTTCCTTCAAGGGAATCATTAGGCTCTCTGGCCTGGCCTGAGGCTCTTCTCAGCCTTAGCTTGCACTTACCCATGCCTATGGGCCTCCAGTGTCACAGGCTTTGTCCTGCTGTTACTACCTTGGTCGCAGGCAGGTGGTGGGCAGACATGATCTAGAGTCCCGCACAGGGTCAGGATCCCCCAGGGGCTGGGATAGACCCAACAGCTCTCGGGGTCTCAGAGCTGAGCCTGGAATTGAGTGGGCACTGAGGGGGCAATGATGGTTGCTGAGGGAGGAGTTCCAGTGGGAAACTAAATGAATGAGTGAGTGAGGTAATGGGTAAATGAATGGAATAATTAATGAATGGGAAGCTGAATAAATTGGCAACTGAATGGAAGGATAAATAATGGAAGATTGGATTACGAATTAAAGAGTTAATGGGGAAATTAATGAATGAGCGAATGAATGAGTGGTTGAATGGGGAAAGGAGGGTGAACTGTGGCAGCTGTGGGCTGGGGGTGTCTGGGGGACTGACTCTCTTCTCCAGCTCCCTTGCCTCTTCTTTTCTCTGCCCCCAGTGTCCTCTATTTCTCCATTCACCGCTACGAGCAGGGTCGGTTCTGGCCCCACCTTAAGGCCTCTAACTGGTCTACCACAGGTTTTGGCCAAGGCCAAGGATACACCATCAATGTGCCTTGGAACCAGGTCAGTGTCTACCCTTCCCTCTGCCCTAACAGTAAGGTGCAGTCCTGGTGGCTGAACGTCCCCCATCATGTCTCCATGCCTGCAGGTGGGGATGCGGGATGCTGACTACATTGCTGCCTTCCTGCACATCTTGCTGCCAGTTGCCCTTGAGGTCCTGGGGGTCTAGAGTGTGTTGCGGGGAGAGGCAACCTTGAGGGAGGAGCCATGAGGGCAGGTGGGCTCATGTAGTCTGTTCCCCCCTCAGTTCCAGCCTCAGCTAGTCCTGGTGGCTGCTGGATTTGATGCCCTCCAAGGGGACCCAAAGGTAAGGCAGGCTCCCTGGGGTGGCAAGTGGGCAGAAGGGGCTGCATGGAGCCAGGCTGACTCTTCATGTCCCCCAGGGCGAGATGGCCGCCACTCCGGCAGGGTTCGCCCAGCTAACCCACCTGCTCATGGGTCTGGCAGAAGGCAAGCTGATCCTGTCTCTGGAGGTGAGACTCGCCTTCATCTCTCAGTCTGTGCATCCTGGAGTCCAGCAGGAGTTCCTGGCCTAGCATTTCCACTTACTAGCTGGACAACCTTGCATAAGTCACTTAACTTCTTTGTGCCTCCATTTTCCTTATGTAAAACAGGCATAATAATAACTGTAATCACCGCATATCATTATCCGGTGAATTAAATGAGGTCAACCTCTATGTTCCTTGTTGCTTGACATGTAGTGTGCACTCTAGTATCATTATCATTATCATTCTTCCCTGGTAACACCTGGTCCTTTCCTGAACCCCCTTCACTATTCTTCCCCTCAGGGTGGCTACAACCTCCGCTCCCTGGCTGAGGGTGTCAGCGCCTCGCTCCACACCCTTCTGGGAGACCCTTGCCCCATGCTGGAGTCCATTGGTGCCCCCTGCCAGAGGTGAGCCCAGGTGGAGGAGGGAAAAAAACGGGACCCTCCCTGCCCACCCAGGGGCCATTTCATACATGGCCCACTCCCTGCCCTCCAGTGCCCAAGCTTCTCTCTCCTGCACGCTGGAAGCCCTCGAGCCCTTCTGGGAGGTCCTTGTGAGATCAGGTAGGAAACAGAGAGTGAGCTTGATGGGGGTTGGGACGTGGAATGAGCCATGGGAGAGACTCTTCCAGACTCCCCTCTGACTTTCCCAAGGCAACTTGGTGGGGGAGGGCTAGGCCCTCTCTCTCACTGAGCCCTGGTTTCAGTCCTCCCACCTCTTTTTATGTTTGGGTCACCTGAGTTCCAGAGAATTACGGGAATCCAGTTTGGGAGAGTAGGGTGAATGGGTCCTCCCCCTTGTAGCTGAGACCCTGGAGGAGGACAACGTGGAGGAGAATGAGGAAGGACCCTGGGAGCCCCCTGCGCTTCCAATCCTGACATGGCCAGTGCTGCAAGCTCGCACAGGGCTGGTCTATGACCAACGTATGATGAGTCACTACAGCTTATGGGACAGGTATGCTGTTAGAGGGCTGGGAGAAGTGGGTGTGGGGACCCCTTCCTGCCAGGCACTAAGCCCCTACCCCTGGCTTTCACCCCACCACAAGCTACCACCCTGAGATGCCCCAGCGCATCTTGCACATCATGTGCAGTCTGGAGGAGCTGGGCCTTGCCAAGCGCTGCCTCACCCTGCCCGCACGGCCCGCCACAGAAGCTGAGCTGCTCACCTGCCATAGGTCAGACCCCCAGGCCCACATGGGCAGTCTCCAGGGGCTGTGGATGGGATCTGGGGGCTGGAGCTGGGTTCCCCTCCCCGTGCTAGGGTGTGTGGAACTGCTGCGGGACACTGTCCACTGGGTGCTCCCCTCTGTACCTCCAGTGCTGAGTACGTGCATCGGCTTCGGGCCACAGAGAAGATGAAAAGCCGGGAGCTGCACCTCGAGAGTGCCAACTTTGACTCCGTCTACATCTGCCCCAGCACCTTCACCTGTGCACAGCTCGCCACAGGCGCCGTCTGCCGCCTGGTGGAGGCTGTGCTGGCAGGAGAGGTGCTTCCTCTCTGGGATGGGGCATCAAGCAGGGGAGAGGAGGTCCTGGGGTAGTGGAAAGACAGGACCACATGCCACTCATGGAGGCTCGGAGGGAGTTGGGCAGGGCTTGAGGAAAGGGGCTCCAGGGAGGAGGCCCTGCTCACTGGGAAAGCCAGGCAGGAGGAAAGGAGGAGACAGTTGAGAGGGAAGAGGACAAGAAAGGGGAGGGCAAATGTGAGGGCAGGGGGTCCAATCTTAGTCCCTGCTCCTCCCCCAGGTCTTGAATGGTACTGCGGTGGTGCGCCCCCCAGGACACCACGCCGAGCGGGACTTTGCTTGTGGTTTCTGCTTTTTCAACTCTGTGGCTGTGGCTGCTCGCCATGCCCAAGCCATCAGTGGGCGTGCCCTGCGGTAAGGACTCTCTGGGGATCCCCAAATACTGATCCTTCTGGAGACCTGGTTCCTGACACCACCACCCCCCCCCCCCCC